GGAAGACTCATTTATTTCCCATATATCAGACGTGATATCGCATATGCAGCTAGTTTGTGAGATACTACATGCATGATTTTCGTGAGACTCATTTACATGTTGTCTTCCGCATATTGCGATACCTGAAGTCTGTACTAGAAAAATGTTTGTTCTTTTTTAAGCATAATCACCTTAAAATATAAACATTTACAGATGCTGATTGAGTTAGGTCCCTAAATGATAGAAAATCAATTATAGGTCATCTCACGTTTGTAGGAGGCAACTTAATCACATGAAAAAGTAAGAAACAAAGTGTGGTTACTCACTCAAGTGCTGAGGTAGAATATAGAGCAATGATCCAAGAAGTATGTGAAATACTATGCTTGTAAAAACTAATAAGAGAGTTAAACCTGCTTAAAGATGAGACGCTATCCTTATTTTGTGATAATAAAACAACAATTAACTTTACTCATAATTTACCCCCCCATGACAGTACAAAACACATTGAAATTAAAAAACACTTCATAAAAGAAAAGGTGATTGGTGGCTCTCTATGCTTATTTCATGTATCTTCTGGCGACCAAGTGGCTGACATTTTTAATAAAGAATTATGTAACAAATCTCTTCAGAACGTGATTTGCAAGTTGGGCATGTATGATATCTTTGTGCCAACTTGAGGGAAAGTGTTGATAAAGATTCTATACTAAGTAGAATACTATATTATTTAGAGTTATAATAGTATAATTATATCGTATAATTAAAGTTCAAATAAAATAAAAATAACAAATCTATAGATATCTTCTAAATGTAAACAAAACATAAATAATAAAAATTAGAAGTTTATTTTTTCTAAAAACTTCACATACTCTTTCCCAAAAAGAAAAGTACGGAAAGTACCTCAGAAGAGAGAATTTTGTACTCAGCTTCAGCCATTCCTCTTGATAAATCACCAACCTGGCTTGGGTAAAAGAAAGCAGGAACTTCAAAAAAGCTGGATTTTTCAACAGCTTTCTCCACTGATAATATTGGAGGTTCAAGATTCTCAGTATCATAATCAATGATAACAAGGTTTGCTGCGATGTCTGCATGTTTCTGTGAGTCCGCAACCTAAAAAGTTTGTTCACGATCAAATTAGTAAAATCATCATCTTATTAATTATAACACTTTCAGCCTATCATCCAAAATTATCAGCCATTCATGTCATTGAGGTTACCGAAACACAAATACATATTATCATTTCTCCCAAACTACTACCAACGTGAGATGTGGTGTTATATTAGTTGATCGAAAAAGCCACGATAAAGAAAATGTTCTATTGATGCGTGACCATAATTGTTTCAGAGGATTTTTGTTGCATAAACATTTTAGTAGCAGTTCCATTTGACAAAAGAAGGCCCAGATATTGCTAGACAAGTATGATAGAACCATGGAAATACCACAAGAGCAACTCTCTGACCAGCACAATGAGTAAGTTCATCCGCAAATAAAGGTTCAGTGCCAAATATGGTTGTAGAACCAATATTCCTCCCACCTTCTGGAATGTCTTTGAATGAAATAAGTGCAGAAACTCCAGCAGGATACAATTTTGTTCTGAATCGTATTCCCTTCACCTGTGCAAAAGGCTTTGTGCTGTAAATGAATGCTCCATGTAGGCAGTTTGTGGGCGATGGAATGTCATCCACGAAAACAGCCTCACCTGCATAGTTGTCTAGATAAGCAAGATATGCAGTTTGATAGTCGAAAGTCTGTAAAATGGTAGAAAAGATAATTAATATAAGGTTTGATCATAAACTGAAGGAGACAAAAATATTTGAACTCACGCCAATATATGGAACTTCAACTTCTATGTAACTAAAATAAACCACCGGCTATTCATATTATCATAACACAGCAGAAAGATGCTAAAAAAAACATCAAAATGTTAATGTTCAAGAAATTATGTTTGAGATGTTTCCTTCTTTCCTTTTTTCTTTTATTCTCTTAAATGGTCTTTTTCATGCCATACCTTGTCTTAGATGCAATACACTATCAAGCTGATAAACTTACCGGATGCTTGAAGGGAAGCTCCAGATTTAATAATAGGTCCACCAACTGGATGATATTCTTTGTTCAATTCGAAAACCTGCTTTGAAGATGAAAGCAATGTTGGCGGATTCACTCCATCAAGCTGTTTATAACTCTCTTTTACTTTTGAATCTTCAAATAGCAGATAACTTTGGTATCCATCTAACCAACCACTGGAAATTTCAACATTAGTTTCAATAAATGGACTAAAGAACTCGAAGAAAAAACCAACAGCGATGCTGGACCTATATGCACGAGTTGAGGCACCATGTCCTGGTACAACAGTGACTTCAAGTAATTCAATAGCTTCATATAGAACACCAACACTTAGTAACTTCCCAGCTAAAAATTCCTCAACCTTTCTTGCTCTAATTGCATGTTTAGTCCCGTAAGCACCAAAAGCCAATTGACAGTTATTTACTATAATTCCATTGGATGTGTTGCTCATAGACACCTCAGTCAAGAAAGCAGCATTTAAATAAGGTAATGCATTTCCAAGGGGACGTGAAGCAGCTCGATATGTTTCAAAGAGCAACAAACTGTTGTTTCCATAAATCAAGTGCCAGAAAGGGATTTTAACACTTAAAAGAACACTGTTAGAATCCATAGGATTCATTTTAAGAAACTCCTCCAATGTAAGTTTTTCACGCAACTGTTTTTTCATTAACTCCACTGTTGCACCCACCGCAAGAAGTATTGTGGCAATATCAGATGGAAACTCTTTTGTCTGCGCCATCACTATATTGCCCCCTATACTAGCGGAGTTTCTTACGGATCCTGACGCAATCTTTTCCATATGCTTAGCAAGTTTTTTGAATACCATTGCACCTTGAGGGGAATACCGTACATTATCCTCTTCCTCCAAAGCCTCGATAACTTTAGTTATTGTCACGGCTGCTCCAATTTCAATTCCAGTCTGATCTATCCTGATCATTGATAGCTCAGGAACATATCGTATATCAATGTATCTGTTGTAGTTGCCTAGTTCCTTAAAATATCCCATACCCGTATTACCTACAACTAATTTCGTCATGATGCCACTGTCGCTCTCATTGGATTCCAATAATTCCTGGAGATCCTTGACACTAACAGGACTGTACCAACAAAAGTTTCTGGGGTCTAGAATCATATTGGACCTGATATCTTTCTTCAAAAACTCAGGAAATGTGCAAATCTCATAATTACATTTATGCAGGGATAATTTACACATCTTTGCTTCCGTACTTTCTCCTTTTCTCCAAAAAGAGTTGAACCCCAAATCTTCCATGTCGACATCAGCAGCAAAACTTTTACAGACATCAATAATGGATCGGTAACCTGTACAACGGCAAAGGTTTCCAACAATAGCCTTTTCAGCTTCAGAAACTCTCAGCTTGGAAAATCCTTGACAAGGTTTTGGCCGGTTGGTCTTATCAGCATTCACAATAGCTGAAAAGATTGATATACACATCCCAGGAGTGCAAAACCCACATTGAGAAGCATGAAAACCAGCAAACCTTTGATGAATTGTGTGAAACCCATCTTTGCTATTTCCTAGTCCCTCAGATGTTGTTACTGAAGATCCATTAACACTACAAAGTAGAGTGAGACATGAGCTAACTGTAAAATCCTCAACTTGGTCCAGCACAGGATCATATTTGGAAAGAAGGACCATACAAGCACCACAACCACCTGCAGTCATAAAGCAGAGATGTTTTTATTTTTACTACTTATTTTTTGAAGTAGAGAAATTTTTTTGTATTTCAACAGTTTCAACTATCAAAATTTATATCTAGTTAATTGACTAACTAAAGCCAACATGCTTATTATGGAATAATCAGCGAGCCAAAAGAGGATTCTACATCCTCTACTTGGTCACCAAAACAAATCATCATAAGATACAAAATTTATCTTAAATTACTTATACCACTCGTTTTTCTACTGTAAAAGAAAGAAAGAAGTCTATACTCTCCTTTAGGGTGCCAAATCGTGGAACTGATTAAATTTTAGTATATCTTCCCCTTCTTCTTTAGAGAATTTATATATATATATATATATATTAAATGATTAGGATAAGAAAGAAGAAGAAGATGAACAAAGTACAGAATCAACTTCCAGAGGACAGTTCTAATAAACATGAAGTAAACCACACAATTAGAATTTCAAAAAACAGACATTAAAGCTTCGGATTCTCATATATAAAAATTTATTATATATAAAAAAAAAAACTGATATTCTCTGTCAAAAACTCCCAATGGAATTAAAACACACTACGAATAATCAAAGGTAATAATCTGGATATGAAAAAAGCATGGCATAATCCTCTCCCCTGTTAATACAAATTTATCTCCAGAAACAAAGTAACTCGTAGATGGAGTCTTTAACAGCATAATCCATTACTAACTTAAGCACACGCTCACACACTTGAAGCACCATAATTCAACACTAACAGGAAGAAACAGCTGAGAGATAGAAAGAGAGAGAGAGAGCAAAAGAACTACTCAGATTAAAACAAATTTTCTGACAAACTTTTCATCTACGTAAACCTACACGAGTATTTAGATCACGGAACTGCACGAGTACATACCAAACATAGGAAGATGGAGAAACCGAGAGCTGAAATGATTAACAGTCTTTATTTAAAAAAAAAAAGAAATTATTAACAGTCGAAAGTACCGATAGATAGATAAACAGAGATACCTTCGCCACAGCCGAGCTTCGGACTCTTGAACCGAGTCTTGGAACGCAAGAAGTCAAGCAAGGTAGTGGACGGATCAACGGTGGAGAGCTCAAACCTCTCGCCATTAACCGCAAATACGAGATTGTTTTGATTCGTTTCCATTTTCTTCTGTAGTCATAGAAACGGTAGTAGTAGTAGTCGTCGTCAATATGAAACTCGGTTGATAACAATGCTTGGAGCAGAGGACGGCAATGGCGGACTCTGACAAAGTCTACAGTTACGATGTGACGAGTGGTTTGTTGCGTTGATTGCAGGCAGAGAAAGCGAGGAGACTAGAAAAGAAAGCGGCAAGAGTGGTGTTACTGACACGCTACGACATTCTTTAAGTGGCCATGTGCTTCTTTCTCTCTCTCTCTCTCTCTCTCCATTTAAATTTTATAACACTAATATCTTTTGTCATACCTGCTCCTATTTTGTATTAAAAAAATAAATTATTTATCACCTAAACATTCTTTTAAATATTGAAAATTTGAATTAATTAATAAAGAATTTTCTATTTTTTAATATTAAAGTTTTGTGGAATATTTTGAGTATTATTTTTAGGAGACTAAAAAAAATAAGAAATTAATTATTTAATCTGAGAAAAAATAATTAGTAGTTATAATTTATTAAATTGATAATTTTAAGCAAAGAACAAAAATTGAAAGATACATATAATTATAGTTTTATCTGTTATAAAAAAATTATTTTACCACGAACAATAATAGATAATAAAAATAATTACTAGAATTTTATATGGTAAAATTTTGTTTTATGAAAATCAATCATTTAAAAATATAATGATTAGAACTAGACTATACATGTAAATATATAATTAAAAAAGACAAAATTTATTATATTTATATTATTGATATTTTTTACTTATAGAAATGTAGAATAATATGGTTCTAGATATTTATATTTTATGATTATAAACTGAATAAAAATATTTTTAAAGAGTTAAAACAATTAAAGTGGTAATTTTAATTGGTTTTAAACTGGGTTTTACGTTTATTTATTAAAAATTAAATGAGTTAAATGTATAATTTACAGTCACATTGATTGGTCAGAGACCATTAAACGATAAATGAAGAAGAAACACCATTTGCACCACAAAATTATACAGAAGCAGAGTCCTCATGCAAACCATTGGGAGAAGGAAAAGGAGTTGTTGTTGTGAAAAGATTATATGCTTGAGGAAACATCTATTGTAAAGAGGTAGTAAACCCAGATAAAGTAAATGCAAAAGCATCAAACTCTTGGAAGCAATTTGCAGTGGTTAACTTTTGACATTCATTTTGTTTGCAAGTTCAGTTTCTTGCTTTCTTTTATTTCATGAAATGTTGTATACAAAATATACAAAACACAGTTGGCTACAGATAAAAAAATGGATATAATTACAGCACTTTTCTCTTCTATTTATGGCGTTGACGTATAAATAATAAATTGTACTATTTTCTTTCGGTTTAAGCTTTTTAATTATTTGTTACAATCAATTGTTTAACATGGTATCAAAACTAGAAATCTAGTGTTGAGAAGTCATTTTTAATTAGCTTAAAACTTTTGAAACAATCGACAAAAATTTTATTTACCGGGTAGAAGTAAACCGAACTTTGGCTGCCAGGAGTTGAACCCTTTTGTGAAGGGGTTGGGAAATAACCACGAAGACAAGCTGCGAAGTCCGAGATTTAGTAACTGGTTACTATAAAACTTTTATCTCTGATTCAAAGAGATGGTCACCTCTTAGAAGATGATTTGTGCGAGAATATATTTCTTACCCATTATCAAGTCCGGTTCATGAAGCTTCATTTTGAGCTAATCTCCACTGTAAGTACCTCTCAACATTGTCCAGTCCACAAAGCTCCTTAACAACAGGCATTGCTGCAGGGACCTGCAACTGGAACGTTGAATCGAGCTCGTCTTGCATGCTCCAACATTGCAGCTGCTTTCTGGCTTCTTTAATGGCTGCTCTTGTGGCACAATGAACAGAAACTGCTAGAAGCAAAGGTGGCTCACCAGATGCTGCATTGAACCCCCATACACATTGATCAGTTCCATGTCCTTAAAATATTTATGGCCTCCATGTTGCCGGATAACGTGGATGCATATATGTAGTAAACCTATCCTATATTCCAATTATTCACTAACAATAATTTGAATATAATCTTTAACGTTCTAGTTACGTTGATGAATTACAATAAGAACACACGTCAAGCATTATCCTGAACATCTAACTAACAGCAAAGCACGCATTTTAGACAAATGAGACAAAATAAGCTATATTAAACTGTACTATATGATTGCAATACTAATAACAAATCACTTATCAACCACATTTATTCCCTCAACTTTCAGCTTGTTGCCTTTCTCAATGTTACCATCACAAGTAGTCATCTTTGCAATAGGTGTTGCTAGAATTTATCAATTACCAGCTGCAAATAGAATGATTAAGTCAACCTAGCTGGAGGGTATCTAACATTTCCTCATACCGTACTCTTGCATCTGGTTTTCATTTTAGCTCAAATTGCAAAAGGTAGAAATGGGTCAAAACGGTTGGAGAGGTGTCAGCTGGTATAACATTACACTTAACATGGTTAAAAGATTTATGGAAAAAATTGAAGCAGTTGAAAATTTTGAGGAAATGATGTGAATATCAGGCTAACTACAGAAATAGCAGATTAGCCAAATACTGATGTAAGGAAATATGCCTAGGACTCCCAAGTTTTAACTATATGCAATTTGTGTCAATAAATATTAATAAACGCATACAACCAACAGAAAAAATGAGAACAGGTTTGTATGAATAGTTTTATTAGGCATATATACCTTTAGATGAGAGTACACGTTTCTTGTGCTGTCCGCTATTCAGAATTTCAACATTGAACTGCTTCGGAATGGTGTCCACTGTAGGGATCTTGTAAGTCCATGTGCTATCTGCAAGCACCATTCCCTCAGAATTTGATGTGTATTCTTCAAGCATAAAGAACCCGATTCCTTGAACGAATGCTCCTTCAATCTGGGGAAAGGGAAATGTTAATTCACAGATTTTAGGACAATGCAGACTTTGTTGACCTATATCTTTGAATACAAAGGATTTATCAGGCTAACCTGTCCTAGATCAACAGCTGGATTGAGGCTTTGTCCGCAGTCATAAACAATATCTGTCCTCAAAATGGTGGTTGATCCTGTCAGAAGATTTATCTCCACCTATGGTGCCATAATTCCATAATTAGTATATCAATAAAGACTCAATTGGGAGAAAATTTTAGTTTGAAAAGAAGCATGCCGTAAACAACTTGCCTCGCTGACTGCAGCACCATAGTTAAGGTATCTCATGGAAGCAAAGTCTGGCACATATAAGGAACTTGCAGATAAATTCACGCTTTCCATATATGCCTGCATGTTGACATTCAAGAAAAAATCACAAACATCACCTGCCTTGATCAAGAAATATACAATGAGAATATTCGGGAAGGTCAGACTTGAAATTGATTCTTTCCCTACGTTGAAAGATGCACCTACCCACTAAGTTAAGCATAAAGATACTGAAGAATAGTATTTTTATACATAAAGCGAAGTATTTTGTTTTCCTTCCTTAGTCATGGAATACAACCTTATTTTCCCAATAGATTTTGTTCCTGAATTATCACAAAGCATAGACAAGACTTACAAGGAGACACCTATGCACACACACATACATGAAACATAACTTGATACAAGTAGGTGTTTGCAAAGTGTAGGAGAAGTGAGGTGTATGAAAGTTCTACATGTTCACGGCCACTTTCTTTCATTCAATGACATCATCCCACCTTGACCTATAAGAAGGAAAGTTCTACTTCATAATCCTTTCTATCCGCACATTTCTGTCTTATTCTTGTTCTTGTTCTTACATAATTTTTCTGTTAAGGAAATAATCTCAATCACGCACACAATCACACAAAATAAAGAATACAAAAAAAAAAAAATACAATATTTAGGTAGGTCGGCAAAGATGCCTACATCCACGGATAAGATAGAAGAAGTTTTTCCACTGCAATAATAAGAAAAGAGTACAATAATCAATTAAATTGTAAACCTTAATATACCCAAAATATTAGGATTTTTCCAAACCAAACCAAACTGGTTTAATATGACCTAGACCAAGTCAAACTAGTCAAATCAAAATTCAAGCCACATCAACATTTTCTCTCTTGGCTGTTCTGGAATTTTCTCCAAAGAATTTTATCTTGTCAAACAAGAAATGTAGTGTTGTGGAGCTCTTATTTTGTTAATTTGTACAAACTAGTACAGTGTAAATAGCTAGGCTAATTGTATCCTGGGACGGCATGCTAAGAATTTTTTTTTGCACCAACTGCAATCACCGAGACCACACTTACTGTCTTAAAAGAGCAATTTAATTAGTGTCTCAATCCTTGTCACCTCTTTTTCTAAAACTTTAATTCTTGTCTGTGTTTCCTTTTTGACAATTCTCAAACACGCACGTGAGGGTTGTGTTAGACTATAATAATAGATTCAATTTTTTTCCTGTGTACTAACGAGATAATTGGTCAAAATCAGTTATCTCACATTTTATCCAAGATAGATAGATTTCAAATAACTAAAATTTCATAGTCGACAATATGTTCAAACACTTTGCTTAAGATAAACGCAGATAAGGACTTGAAAATTAGTTACTGAGCAAGAGAAAAGCAATGCATCATGCCACCATACAGCTAAAAATGAGTTGCTTGTTCAACTCCTCTAGTTATTGGGATGGAAAAGAGGATGAAGGTAGCTAGAAGAACCAACGATTACCTGACGAATCAGCATTTCCCATTTTACAGAACCCATTTTTTGCTGCAGTCTTTGCTTAAGAGATGTAAGCCTCTCAACCAAGACACTGCAACAAAGTTGGACTGCTTGACAGCATGATTCAGATGTTGTGCTTCCAGCAGTGAGACCTCCTTGGATTAAGCTCAATGTGTCAGACTGTATAACACGTACTTTGTCCAAGAGATTGACCATTCCTTCACACTGGATCAAACTAAGGGCATATGCAGCCATCTGTTTGACTTTTGTCCAGAGCCCCTGACCAAGCTCAATGCCACCAACCTCAACCACAATAGACCCATCACTCAAAATGCTTACTTTCCCTGGTGCTCTAATCACTGAGACTTCATGCACTATAGGCACTCGAGAAATGCCCCTTTTGTGCCATTTGTTACGCCTATTAAAGTCTTTCACAATTTCAATCCTTTGACTATAGCTTGAAGACATGGCTAATTTATCCCATAATGATGGTAAAGTATACTCCTCAGTTTCACCAGCACTATGGTGGTAAAATAGGTCAAGGCTGTTGGGTGTGTGGAGATTGATGTGTCTAACAGTATCCACCTCCATGGAAAGGATAGATGCTACGTTTTCAATAACAGCTTCAGCAATGAATGATCCTTGTACATCCCCAGGCGCTCGCATTGCTGATTTACTTGGAAGGTTCGTTTTGCACAGCTTTATATCAAAAGATAAAGCACCCCAGTCATACTTCTTAAGTGCACCTACGATACCCATTGGCATTATTGAACTTACATCAGGAGACATCCCTGCATCAATTAATATAACAAGCTGTAAAGCTGTAATCTTCCCATCTGATTTGAATCCCACACTATAAGTTATTTTCATGGGATGCCTTCCTCCTGCCATCATCATATCAGTTTTTCGATTAAGATATATCCTCACTGGACGCCGTAATCTGTCTGCAGCAAGTGCACATGCTGTAGCAACCTACAAACATCACATTATGGAGCTCTTTGTTTCCATTATAGGCAGATTAAAATAAAGTGAGAGAATCAATATCCCATTAGAGACAGAGAAATAGCATAAATCCTTCAAAAAAGAAAAGAATCACTCTTGCAGATATTATGACAGTAGAGCCAGTGAATTTAATACCAAGGAAAACAGTTATGGGTTAACTATATATTTTTTTTCTTTTAAACAATTACGGGAGTCCTTACCTAATGTTTAGCTAACACAAGAAGAAAAAAATAAGGAGAAAAGAAAAGTAAGAGTAGCATTGCTGGCTCAGAATATCTTAAATAATCTATAAAGCTTCAACAGAGATACTGATGCCAAGAATTTGATGGCGACAAAATTATAGTAAAGCAGCCTTCTCATATAATGCCTAAATAGCCTTCAAAGACTTAATTTCCCTTGTTTATTTTTTAGTAGCACCTCCAACACAGACTCATTCAAGAATCTATTTGTCTATACATATGATATTTGCTCACTGATCGATTTCACAGGTAGATCACCTCTAATGACAAAGAAGTGTGATTAAAATAGATTATTAAGTATGACACTCACCGGCATAGATTTTATGGCTTTTCCACCAAATCCACCACCAACTCGTCTTGTAACCACACGAATATTATGCTCAGGAACCCCAAGACACTGGGCAACTGTAGTATGTACATACTCAGGGCACTGAGATGAGCTATAAACTACCATGCAATTGTCTTCATCTGGTACAGCAAGAGCAGTTTGTGTCTCCATATAGAAATAGTACTGTGACCCAAGTCTGATCTGAACATCACAGTTTGGCACAACTTTGATTGTCAGTTTGCAGTGTGACACAAAAAAGCCAGTGCATCTATGACAGTCAGGATGTTACCAATAATATGAAATAGACAGTAAGCAATCTATGAGAAAAAAAAAAACCTCAGAATTGATAATTTTTTGCTCAGCCTCTGCCATTCCTCTTGATATATCGCCGACCTGTCCAGGGTTTAAGAAAGGAGGAACCTCAAAAAAGCTAGATTTTTCAACAGCATCCTCAACTGTTAATATTGGAGGCTCCAGATTTTCAGTATCATAATCAATTACTGCAAGGTTTGCTGCCATGTCTGCATGTTTCGGTGTATCTGCAACCTAAAAAGTCAATTCATAATCAATTATTAAAACAAAAATTTTAATTAATCAATTTAAAAAAGCCCCAATAAGGAATGCAGTATTGCAACATAAGGATAATAGAAACACGGAAATACCACAAGCGCAACCCTCTGGCCAACACACTGAATAAGTTCATCTGCAAATAAAGGTTCAGTACCCAATCCAGTCACAGAACCTACATTCTTCCCACCTTCTGGAATGTCTTTGAACGAAATAAGTGCAGAAACTCCATCAGGTACCAACTCTGTTCTGAACCTTATTCCCTTTACCTGTGCCAAAGGCTTTGTGCTGTAAATGAATGCTCCATATAGGCAGTTTGTTGGAGAGGGAATGTCATCCACATAAACAGCCTCACCTGAATAATTAATATATAAGCAATTCAATTTTTTAGTATAAAGGGAAAACATAAAATGGTAAAATATTATACTAATGTACTAAATAAGGTTCGAAATCTCCAACAATAAACTTCAATTCATTTTTTCAAAAGCTTGATTGGAAATAACTCATTTGATTATTTATAGGTTCCCCAATTCTTTTACCTGTAAATCCACTAGGATGCAAGCATGAATCACGCACAGGTCTATCTTACCTTAATTGAAATTTATCTAAGAGAATAATCAGCGCTCAAACTTAAAACTTCTAATCTTGATGCTATGCTAAATAACAGAGTTGAACCTAGTTTCCAACCGATAGAAAATGATTCAATTATTATTTGTATATTGGACATTATCAAGTAAGATAACACACCAGATGCTTGGAGTGAAGCTCCAGATTTCACAATCGGTCTACCAACTGGACGATATTCTTTGCTTGCTTCCAACACCAACTGTGAAGATGACAGCAGGGTTGGAGGTTTCACATCACCACCATGTTCATAACTTTGTTTTATTTTTGAATCCTCAAATGGCAAACAATTTTCATACGAATTCCACAAACCATTGGAACTCTCAGCTGTCCTGGTTTCAAGAAAGGGGCTAAAGAACTCAAAAAGAAAACCAACAGCAAGGCTTGATCTATAAGCTGGACTTGAGGTACCTTCCGCTGGCACAACAGTGACTTTAAGTAATTTAATAGCTTCTAATAGAAGAGTTATGCATAAGTTTTTCCCAGTTAAAAATTCCTCAACCTTCCTTGCCCTGATTCCATGTTTTGTCCCATAAGCACCAAAAGCCAATTGACAATTAGTTATGATATTTCCCTTAGATTCTTTGCTAGCAGATATCTCAGCAAAGAAAGCAGCATTTAAGTAAGACAATGCATTTCCAAGGGGACGTGGTGCTGCTCGATAGGTTTCAAAGAGTAACAGGTTGTTTCTGGAGGAAATACTTCTAATTGAA